ACCTGAGGAAAGAAATAAAATCAAAAGCGGAATAGAGAATAAATAAAAAGAAGCGACAGAGAGGCAGAGGAGAGAGAAGCAAAAACCCACCGGTATGCACTGAGAAAAAATTTATTTACAGATCGATCGACAAAAAAAAAAAAAAAAAAAAAAAGAAAAAAAAAAGAAAAAAGTAACAATAACCTATTTATTGTATATAATGTTTTATTATAAATCGTGTCTTGTATATTGCATTCTGTACATCTGCTGTGGTTTTGTGGTGTGCAACTTCCGCATGGGTTCATTGGGTTTCCGTTGCCTTTTTTTAACGACGATGACGATGATTTGAGTTTTATTTTTTAATTATTATTAATGAGACCGAGGCGGGATTCTTTTTTTTTTTTTTTTTTTTTTTTTTGGCAGTACACACCCAAAGATCCGAATTTGTATAAAACAGAAAAGAAAGAAAAAAAAAAGAGTTTAACAAAAAAAAAAAATTAAAAAACTACAAAAATTAAGGAGAGGTCGCTAAGACACCCTCGGCCGCGGCGAGCTCGGGGTGCGGGTGCACGGGGGGGTTGGGGCTCCTCGCCTTCCTCCCCAGCCCTCGCCCTCTTGCCTTCCTCCCCCTCGGGAAACTTCTGCAGAGCTTTTGTGGATTGTGCAAAAAAAAAAGGAAAAAAATTAAAAACCCGGGGAAAGCCAAAAAAAAAAAAAGGACAATGCAAAAAAAAATAACATAAATAAAAAGAGGGGGGACAACCCGGTTGGGAGAGGGGGAATAAGGGCAGGCGCCGCTGCCCTGGCCCTGTGCTGCCACCCCTGCCCGCCCGCGGCCCCCCCGGCCCCGCTCCCCCCCCGGCTCTTTTGGTGTATTTAGGAAGGACTTTTTCATAGGCACTTTTTTTATATTAAAAGAAAACCTATATATTGAGCGACGCTGCTGCTTCTTTGGCCTCTCTTTCCCCGGGGGCAGGGGGGGGCCCACGTGCCCCCGGCCCCCCTGAGCCCCCCAGGGGTCTGTAGAAAATAAAGTATGTCTATTTATATAGAAACGTAAATATTTTATATAGGGATAGGTAGATTTTATAGAGATATGTAAGTAGATATATGAGGGGGTGCTGCCAATGTGGCATTTTCGGCTTGGCCGGGTTTAGTGCCCCCCTGGACCCCCCCATCCGGACCCCCCTCCCCAGCCCCCGTGGCGGGAGGTGCCCAGGCCTTAAAGGAAGCAAAAAAAAAGGGAAAACAAGAAAAAAGGTGAGGGGGAAAATTAAAAGCAAAGAGCGCACCTGGCGGGGGGGGGGGGCACCTGCTGGGGGGGGCACCTCTTGGTGAGGGGGTACCTGGCCCGGCTTTGGGCTCCTTGGGGTGAAGTGCAGGGGGGTGGATTTGGGCAAAGGGGAGGGGTTGGGAAGAGGGAGGATTTGGGAAGAGGGAGGATTTGGGAAAGCAGGGTTTGGGAAGGGGGTGGATTTGGGAAAGCAGGGTTTGGGGAAGGGGAGGATTTGGGAAGAGGGAGGATTTGGGAAGGGGGWGGATTTGGGAAAGCAGGGTTTGGGGAAGGGGAGGATTTGGGAAGAGGGAGGATTTGGGAAGGGGGAGGATTTGGGAAAACAAGGTTTGGGGAAGGGGAGGATTTGGGAAGAGGGAGGATTTGGGAAGGGGGAGGATTTGGGAAGGGGGGATGGAGGAGGTTGCTATGGAGAAGCAGCACATGAAGCAGGCGGGTGGCCGGGGGGGGAGGCCGCCCCCATGGGCCCCCCCTCCTCACTGTGCCCCACGGAGGCACCTGCGGGTACATGGGGGGCGCTGGCCCTGCCCCCCCCACAGGAGCCCCCCCAGGCCCCCCCAGCAGCACCGCAGCCAGGGACAGCTGGGGAGCCGTGGGGAGCCCCGCGGGTCCCCAAACCCTCCGCAGACCCCCCCAGTGATGGGAGGGGGATAGGGAAGAGCGGGGAGGGGGGGGACCGCACGGCGCCGGGAGCGAGGAAGAGGAGCGAAGGCCGTTGCCTGGCAACCGCACAGCTGGCGCCTGACCTAGAAGATGCCGCTCACTCCTGGCACAGCTGGTGCTCATCCCGCACCCCCCCGGGATGCTCCGGCGGCCCCCCCGGCCCGCCCCCGCCTCCCGCCGCGGGGCAGCGGGGAAACCGAGGCAGGCGGCGGCGGGAACGGCCTCCGCGGAGGCTCCCGCGCCCCCGCCCTTGCAAACAGCACATTCGTTCATTTGCCCTTTTTTTCCCCCCCCCCTTTTTCCCCACTGTTTTTTTCCATTCTCGGCGTCAAAACAGGCGGCCGAGGTTAAGGGAACCGGCCGCAGCCTGCGGAGGAATTAGGGGAAGCTGGAAAACAAGCGGGAGACCCAAACACTCCCTGCGCCGCCGGCCCCTTCCCGGAGTCTCCGGGGTGCAAAACCACCCAAAAAGAGGGGAAAAAAGGGAGAAATTTGCAGCATGCTGCAATGGCAGCTCCAGAGGTGCACGCCAGGCAGGCACAACTTCCAAGTTGCTTCCTTGGTGCACAGCAGGATTATTTTGATTTTTTTTTCCCTTTTTCCCCCCCATTTTGTCATCGTTCTTTAAAGACTCAATTAAACCCCTCGAGCAGCGTGCGCCGCTTTGGAGGCTGCGAAGCCTCGAGATGGGGCTGATTGCAGGGGGTTTATCAGCCCAGCGGCTCCATGCCCGACGTGCCAGGCTGCTCGCTGGCTTGTGCCAGCAGAGGCTGCTTGAGAAAAACACACACACACAAAAAAAGGGGAAAAGAGGAAAAATTGGAAATGTGATTGGGACCTGGCGGTGCTCTGGGTGTTTTATTTATTTGCTTGCTTTTCGGGAAGTTTCCAGGAGGCCGCTCGTGTTGACCCTGTGT